GTTGCCAACTTAACCTTCCTTGAAGTCTTCCTACATCTAACAGACAACTACCTTTAAAGAATAATGGCTAATTGGGGTTGCCCATCCCTAAAATCACCCTAAAATGCAATAGGTAAATGTGCTAGTGGACAAAGGCTCATTTTTCCTGTTTCTTTAGGTTTAACCTTACACAGGTGTATCATTTGCTGAGCATCTAATCCACTATGGAAGCTGCACAGTGCACCTGGGATGCTGGTGCAGATGTGGGGACTATATTTTTTGTCTTTTCCTCCCCTCACCGGAATCTGTCAGACAGCCAATACTTTCTTACAGAACTGAGCAGGCCCTGAGAACTTGATTCTTTGGCTAGCAGGAGAAAAACCCTAACACGTTCTCTTCAACAGTCAGCTATTATCCTTTTACCCAACTTTTGATAATACTTTTAAAGTAATGTTTGCAATAGATTATCATTTATTAGGATGAAATAAAAGATGAGCTATGAGGATCGACTTTCAGTTTCATATTTACAAGTTCATTCAGTTAGAAGATGCAAGCAATGAGAACAAAGGGATGACCCATGGCAAATGGTGAGGAAGGGACAGGACGCAGCAGTGACCCTGTGCCAGAGCAAGCACCAAGGAAGATGGAACTGAAAATAACCAGCTGAGGAGTTCATGAATACACCTGTGGCCCTTAGGAGACAAAAACATCTCGTCTAGTAGGAGCACTCTGGATGAGAAAGGATGTGTGCTGTGGTGCAGACTGGAAGTCTGACTGTGGAAACAGGCGTGGCGAAGCTTCGAGAAGACAGGTGCCCTCTGGGTGCTCAGTATCCCTGAGTTATTTTTAGAGTATGTCTGCTTACAGCCAGTAGTTACTACTAGAATGTACACGATAGTGATCCCCACTCGCTCCTTCAGATGGCCTGGGGAAGAGGAATGACGGAATAATCCAGAGTGATTCACAGTGAATCGTGACTATCAATGTGCCTTGTGTCTAGGAGATGATGTGGGGGTCAAGGGAGACTAAGGAAAAGAATGGAGAAAGACAAGTGGCTCTTCCATTAGCCACAGAGAAAGGGCTACAACTGATCCAGGAACAAATCTTGTCTTAAACTGGAGGGAACCACATACATACCAATAGCAAGAGTCTCCCAGGCAATTTCTAAGAGGAGGGAAACTGCTAACACATAGCCTAGGTTTAGACAGAATCAAAAACACCCCCTTCAGGAACTATGGGCCCCTTAGAGGAAGTCAACTCTCTGCTCCCTCTCACAGAGGGCAAGCCTCCCAAGGAGAAGCCCTGGCACCTGCGCAGGCAACAGAACCGCCAGGCCTGGCACCCCCTCTAGACCAGGAGAAAGGTGCTGAGGAGCAGGCCCTCAGAACTTGATTTTCCAGCCAGCAGGAGAAAAACCCCAACACATTCTCTTCAACAGTCAGCTATTATCCTTTTACCCAGACTGGAATATGCAGTCCTGTATATTTTCATCTTTGGAACAGGTGGCTTGATATGCAAATAAAGTAATAAGTGTCAGAGCTGTATCCTAGCAGTAGCTACTTTGCAAATGTTACCATGGCACCCATTCAACAGTGTTCTTAGAGGTAGCCACACCTCAGCAAGGTCTTTCTAACTTGGAACAGCAAAGTTCAAATGAACGAATAGACACAAACTGTGAAAGAGTCCTGAACCCATCACAAGGTGATTCTTTACAGCACAATTGCCCTCTGAAGCTACTTGAAACAGGGCATGGGACTTAAAGGAGAAAAAAAAGGAAATGGACCATCTCTTCTGACACCTGGAATGTGATCCAAGCCTGGAGACAAACTGAGGGTAATTATAACTGCTAACATTTGTTTTTAGCGGCTAACAGATTGTGCACAGATTGTGAAGGGCAAACTCCATTCTCCAATTACTCCAGTGCAAACTGTGCTTTAACAGTACTCACTAAATCCTAGTTGAGTGAAATGAGAGCAGATTGTCCTTGTGGTGTGGTTCATTTATGTTAAACTATGGAAAACTGGGACTGTCCCCCCCACAGTCCCAGTCCAGGGGCCACTCACAGCCAGATGCAGAGAGCCCTACAGCACACTGGGCTCTACACATCTCTTTTCTTACTGCCAGCAAACCTGCTCTACAGGGTATAACATGTATTTCCCAAGCACAGACAAAGCAAAAGGAAAAGGGCTAGACATCAGCTGCTGGGGAAACAAGTCTTAAGCAACCTGGCTTGTGAGCCAATCAAGGTTGCTGAGGTAGGTCCTAAGCCAAAACAGGGTACATTTCCACCTGGTTAGGGGAGAATAAAATAACCGATACCAAAAGTTAACAAGATAATCTGTGATCGGTAACAAATTGATACAATAAACCATGAATTCTATGAGAGTTCAAAGAGGGCAACAGTTCTTTCCTGCTTCCTCTTCAAATGAGGGTGATCAAAGAAGAAGCCCAGAAAGACGATGAAAAAGTGGAAACTTCACCAATAGGAAACCACAGTTTGTTGACACTGAAAAACCATCAGCAAGAATGAGACTACAGAGCTCCCTCCACTATGTGTCAAAGCCACAGTTCTCTCCATGTCCTTAAAGACAGTAATGATGTATCATTTCTGGCTGAAACAGTCACAGAAGACAGGGGTGCAAAGGAAGGAGCGCTTAGAAAAGCAATAGGGAGTTTCCATTTTGCTACCTTTATTTAAAAACACACAAAGGGTAATTTTGTTTCCCAAAAGGGTAATTATGGGACCATTATATATAGTTAACTCCACATACGCATCACCTTAAGAAACAGTAATAAAGACAGAAAAGTGCCTCTTGGTTCTGTTTCCATAACATTTAGCCAAATCAATCTGTAAATTGTCTGTGGGTGAGTTGAAATTGTAATTTGAGCAGTAACCTGGATGTCCGACATACCACCCAGGGGTCGACCACATCAAGGGCACAATATTAAAAAGCATGAGAATTTGGGCTTGGTTGTGGCAAGTTCTGATGGAGAGATCCATCCAGCCTGATGAAGGCTAAGCGAGGAGGAGGTCAAGGGAGGAAACAATGCTCGGGAGCAAGCAAGAAATGGCATCAGGTTCCAAGAGATGGTCCACTGCCAAGGGTTAAATCCAGTTCTCTGGAAGGAAAGCTGTGACAAGGTCTAAGAAGCCTCAGGGCAGGAATTCAGTTACATCAAGAAAGCATAGTACTAAGGAAAAAACAAAGCTCATGTCCAATCCTATGGATTAAGATGACACAGCAGAGGCTAGGAGAAATCTAGAATCTGGTGGGTATGTGGTGCCAGAGTTACTGCAGGATATTAGCCACTAAGATAACGGTGACATGAGTAAAGCCACACTCCACCTATAGCTGGATTGAGGCTTTTAACATATTTTCTGCCCAGGACAGGATTAGCATAGGAACTCTGCAGGTGTCGGGCTAGAGATCAAGCTGTATCAAATACAGCAATGACTGAGCCGATCTGGGCTGAGGAAGACAGAACGTGAACAGAGCACTTCCATATGAGAGGCCATAATTTATTTATTAGCACAAGGATTTATGATGATAAGTGAGATTTTGAAAAGTGAAAAATATATTCTGTTGCAATGGTCAGTTTACCTCATTTAAATTTTCTGCCTTATCAGTTTTGTTATCCGACAAAGTTAAATGTAAAACATGAAACCATAAATACTAGAAGAAAATATGGGGAATACTTAATTATGCTTTGATGAGGAAGGCATTTCTTAATACATTAAGAAAAAACCATAGGAGTAGAGACTGGATCACATAAAAATGTAAATTTTGGTGCAATTAAAATAACATTGGCATAATTAAAAGGCTGTATAAACCAGGTAAAATATTTGCAACAAATGTGGCAGATTTAATATTCTTGATGCATAAAGATGTCTTGCAAACCAATAAGGAAAACCTCACCCAAAAGACAGGTAAAAAATCAAATGTATTTCACAGAAGAATAAAATACCACAGACCAATAAGCATGTCAAAAAGTGTTCAACTTCACTAGAAATAGTAAGGGCACACATTATAGCAACAAAAAATACCAATGCTCACTTCTCAAATTAATGTGATAAGATTGGTACACCTTCCTAGGCAGTGATTTGACAATGTTTGACCTAATACTATGATTTCTAGTAATCTATACTAAAAAAAAAAAAATCTGATTCTTTATAATAAATATCATATATGTAATAATTTATTTACAGAAATATTCATCAGTGTTATAATAATTAAAAGAGGCAAGAAACTGAATGTTACAGTTACATAATAAAAAACTCATTAGCCATGAATATTGTGTTTTTTGTTTTTTGTTTTGAGACAGAGTCTCACTCTGTCGCTGAGGCTGGAGTGCAGTGGCACAATCTTGGCTCACTGCAAGCTCTGCCTCCCAGGTTCAGGCCATTCTCCTTCCTCAGCCTCCCAAGTAGCCGGGACGATAGGTGCCCACCACCATGCCCGGCTAATTTTTTGTATTTTTAGTAGAGACGGGGTTTCACCTTGTTAGCCAGGATGGTCTCAATCTCCTGACCTTGTGATCTGCCCACCTCAGACTCCCAAAGTGCTGGGATTACAGGCATGAGCCACCATGCCCAGCTGAATATTGTGTTTTTTAAAGAATTTTTAATAACATGGGAAAATGCTTATGGCACAATATTAAGTGAAAAAGCAGGGTATAAAACATGACTTTATTTATATTATACATAACTTACACATATAGCAAAAAGACTGGAAGGAACAGACCTGTGAATAAGCATGTCAAAAAAGTGATGGAAGGCTGGGCATGGTGGCTCATACCTGTAATCCCAGCACTTTGGGAGGCCAAAGTAGGAGGATCACTTGAGCCCAGGAGTTTGAGACCAGTGTGGGCAACATAGCGAGATCACATCCCTCCAAAAAACTAAAAAAATTACCTGGGCATGGTGGTGCATACCTGTGGTCTCAGCTACTCGGGAGACTGAGACAGGAGGATCACTTGGGCCCAGAAGGTTGGGGCTGCAGTGAGCCATGATCATCCCACTGCACTGCAATCTGAGCAAGAGAGCAAGACTGTCTCAAAAACAAACAAAATAGGTAGCTCCTAGGGCATTATAGGAACAATGATAACTGAATGAATATTTTTTAAAGGAAAAAAATCATTACTTAATGATCTCAGCTTTTTTAGTTTAACATCACAGAAACTACTGATTTGAAATATTCCAAAGAACTATATTTGCTCTCTGTAACAGTAATTTTTCAAAACTCTTCTAACAAGACCAACTCACTGGAAAGAAAACTCTACATGTCAATGAATGAGTGTCCACAACCCAAAGAATACTCACGTGGCACTTCCAGGAAGTCTCTACCATTAAGCAAAAGAGATCCCATGATCCTAGTCTCGGGGGCGGGGGGGAACCCTCCAAATTATTGCCAGTGATTTTAAGAAAGATGATGTTAAATGCTAGCACACTCAATAGTTCTGCACAATACATGAGTTCTGCACAATACTTAACATATTCTGAGAAGATCATGAATAAAATGCAAAACCCTTTTTTGTACTTTTATAATTAGGAATAATCTAGATAACCCTAGGATTTGTACTTTTACTACTAAGAGCTAATATTTACTGAGTCCTTACTATGTGACAAGCACATAGTGAAGCATTTTTGCCCAAGACCATCTTATGAGGTAAATACTATTAATATCTTCATTTTACAGACAAGTAATCTGTGGCTCCCAAATGTTAAATAACTTGCCAAAGACTACTAAGCTGATAATTGGCCAAGCCCAAATTTAAAACCAGACAGTCTGTTTCTAGAACTTGCATTGTTAACTCATTTGCTTTACTGACTTGGAATCTATGAAACAGGTAAAGTTGAAGAATGCCTTTCTCTTCTGTTTCTTCTCCATGCTCTAGGAATCTCAAAAAATAATGAATCCTGAGCTTTTAAATCTATGCATATATCACTATCTTTATTATGCTACTTCCTTTAAAGAAAGTATGGTTTAATAACTTAATGCACTGTCTTCAGTTTTTCCTGCACTGGTGTCATATGTAATTTCTCTTCCTTGTTTAGGTTTGCGGCTAGAAGACAGTAAATCTAGCAATGGAGCCCACATATGAGGAATACCTAGCAAATCATGGAACAATAGTAAAGCCTTATTACTGGCTAAGCTTCTCTCTAGATTGCTCTAATTGTCCTTACCATATTCGAACGGGTGAAGAAGCAAGAGTTTCCCTCACAGAATTTTGTCAGATTTTTGGATTCCCTTATGGGACAACATATCCTCAAACAAAACACCTCACATTTTATGAATTAAAAACTTCTTCTGGTAGCCTGGTGCAAAAGGGCCATGCTAGCAGTTGCACTGGGAATCATATCCATCCAGAATCAATGCTCTTTGAAATGAATGGTTACCTTGACTCAGCCATATACAATAATGACAGCATCAGGCATATCATTCTGTATTGCAACAACTCCCCTTGTAATGAAGCTAACCACTGCTGCATCAGCAAAGTATACAATTTCCTGATTACATATCCAGGCATCACTCTTAGTATTTATTTTTCTCAGCTCTATCACACCGAGACGGACTTTCCTGCCTCCGCATGGAACCGCGAAGCTCTCCGGAGCCTGGCCAGCTTATGGCCGCGGGTTGTTTTGAGTCCAATAAGCGGCGGGATTTGGCATTCTGTCCTCCACAGCTTTGTTAGTGGTGTCTCAGGATCACATGTTTTTCAGCCCATTTTAACAGGGAGAGCACTGACTGACAGGCACAATGCATATGAAATCAATGCCATAACAGGTGTAAAACCTTTCTTCACTGATGTTCTTCTCCAGACAAAAAGGAATCCAAACACAAAAGCTCAGGTGGCTTTAGAGAGCTACCCCTTAAACAATGCCTTTCCCGGACAGTCTTTTCAAATGACGAGTGGAAGACCTCCAGACCTCAGGGCTCCTGTTGTTTTTGTGCTATTGCCTCTCAGGGACTTACCACCAATGCAAATGGGCCAAGACCCAAATAAACCCAGGAATATCATAAGGCACTTAAATATGCCTCAAATGTCATTCCAGGAAACCAAGGACCTTGAAAGGCTTCCCACTAGAAGGTCAGTGGAGACAGTGGAAATCACAGAACGGTTTGCAAGTAGCAAACAGGCAGATGAAAAGACGAAGAAGAAGAAAGGGAAGAAATAAAATTTACCTTCCCACAGCATGAAACCAATTCCCAGCGGACTTATTAGATAGACAACAAAAATCTGGAAACTTTCTCTCTTAGGGCTGAGCCAAGAAGGAGATAAACTGACGCACTAAAAGCAAACCTTGAATTATTTACCATATGAACTGTTATAAAGTCACACTCTTTTAAACATAATCCAAAATGTTTCCATAAGCAACTTGATCTCTCTCCTTTGAAAGTGGCAGTATCAAAATGGAACCATTAGCAGCTTGCTAATATTTTGGTGCAGAAAAGGAATCTCATTATTCTATTCTACTCACATCACCTTTTCACAACAAAAGCCCATGGACAAAATAGCTACCTAAATTGATTTCAGTAAAAAAATTTACTGTAAAACTGAAAAACAGCCTGAAGCTACTGACATTAAATGCTGTTTGCAAGAGCAAACCAGTGATTTTCTACTAGTTGTTAATCATGGACAGAAGATTTTAGGTAGTTCATTTTTTTCTAAAGTGATTCAAAATAGTTTTGTGTGGGAAAAAGCACTTCTGTTGATTACGTATAGCTATAAAGATTAAAACCTAGGCACCTGCTCAGTTTGATCTTCCCCAGCTCAGACCTCTCCCTTCTGAGCAGATGATAGAGGCAAGATGATACATGAGAACCTCCAATGGCTCCTGTCATCACATACCATATAAAATCCAAGTTCCTCTTACTGGCTTTCAAGGATCCTCCTTTAACTTTCTGTTGCCTTGTATCATCAGCAAGATCATAAGTACCCACAGGTCAAGCGCTGTCTCTCCCTTCCCTTTAACTTTTCCCTTAGGATCTAGCACGTTATCCAGCAAAACATGGGTAGCAAGGCTGAAATGACACCTCAATAACTTCACCAATGACTATGAGTCAACATCCCTTCTCCACCCTGGCTGAAAGCCTACTTAACCATCCTGCAACAGATGTTTTTCTTTTTGTTAGCATCCATTCCCCCTTCTAATGCAGCTCCCAGTGCATAATGTGTGTTTTACTTCCCTCCTTTCTGACTCCATCCTCGTCACGAGTGAATATTTGTACCTTCTCTTAAAATCTTCAAAACACACTTCTAGGAAGTGCTCCTTCACTAATCCTCTAAGCACTTAAATGAAAGCACTTTGCTTATGCTTATTTCACATTTGCTGCCACTTGCCTCTTTGAAATATGTAAAGATACATTACAAGAAAAATGTACATTTACTTGTAACTTGCCATTTTTTTCTATATATATGTATATAAAGCTCCTATTATCCTAAGCTAATAAAAGAGTTTGCCATGACATTAAAACATGTAATACTCCATGAAGGAGGAGGAGAAAGAAAAACGTATTTTAGGAATAACAATTAGTATTGTGGTTAAAATAAACATGAATAAAAAGTTTAAAACAAAGTTCTATTGTTAGCATACAAATTTTAATGGAATTACTGGAATACAGTTTTATTGTGGTTATATAGTGAGTATTATTTAAAGAAGTACTGTTGAGGTTTATTTTTATTTCATGAAATCCTATGTCCACAATTTGAGATATTGAGTTAAAAAGATCCCAAATGACAAATCCAGCATCTCTGATCATTATTAAAATAGATCCAATTTGTTGCCAGAAAATGGCAGACTACAACGTGAACCAGGCTACAGAGAATCCAGTTAGAAACACGGTCTGAAATAGATGATGAACTTATATTTATAATGTGAACCTGCATATCAATGGTATACAACAAAAGGAGAAGTTGCCAGAACTATAGGAAAGAAAAGTGCCTTTGGCAGTTAAACTTTTGTAATGACTTGATAAGACTAGGGCTAGGAAGAAGATTACTGACAGGTCATAAGCTCAGGCCAATACAGCCAACCTTAGACAAAAGACTATTAGAAGAACATAAAGATATACTGCCCAAGGCAAGTAATCTGTTTCCTCATCTGCAAAACAAGAAAGGTGGGCTAGTTCATCTTTAAGGTTCCTTTCAGCTCCATCTGCTATAAGAAGGCATATAGCAAAGCAACAGTTCCACAAAGTGAGATCCTGCAGTGCAGTGATTAGCTTTCCTTGCTCACTACACAGTGATTCTTGGTCATGTCAGGCTGGCCCAGCGATTGAGAGAGAGAAGTTGGGTTGCTCCACCCCTCTTCAGCAAACTGGCAATGTTGATATGGAAGAATATCTCTGCCACCACACATATAGAAATAATAGAAATAAAGAAAATAGAAGTAAATTAAGGCAGCTAGTAATATGATGATCTGGAAAAGGCATTGGGATATATCCCAAGAAAACAATGAGACTGAAGGGAGGGACACATTATCTTGGTGACTCTACCAAGGTCCAGGGTTTGGGGGTCTTAGCTTTGCATGCTCAACTACCTACTTAGTAAGTACAGGGAGAATGGATTTACCCATCGGAAGCAGGTTTGGATTAACAAAGCTCTTGAGACTGATATGTAAAGACAAAAAACTAATGTACTGATTTCTAGTAAGACTTATAACTAGATATGCAAGCATATATTCAAGTCATCCAGGTTATATAGCCTCTTCATGTACATAAGCTACATTGCAAGTCAAATTATCATAAGGTTGCCTTATGGATTAGAGGAGTCCATTATTTGACTCAAGTGTTTAGTACTATCAGATTCTGCTTTCATAGTGGTGATTGACATCTGCTTAGAATGAAGTGGTGGATGGGGTATGTACAAGGGCATCTCATTCCTGGACAGTGTTTGGGAGGGTCCAGACAGCAAGAGACAACACAAACCTCTGTGACCAACTCCTGTCATGGCATTGATTTGCTATGTGACTAGAAATCTGTTTTCTATGTTTCATCAAGCTACAATCCAATCCATATAATACTAAACAGATGAGAATTAATCAAGCTATAATCTAATCCTGCTCATCTGAGAGCAAATCCTATTTCTTTAAATTGCCATTACACCTTTTTCATTCATAGTATACGCAATCCAAAAAGTTCCACAGATGGAATCTTATTCTTCTTACTGGTTTTTAAGGAAAGCCACATAAATTTAAAAATTTTTAAAAATAGTAAATTTAAAAAGGAAAGCCACATCATAACCTGTACTAATTTAAAATAATATTATTCGACCAGGCGTGGTGGCTCCTGCCTGTAATCTCAGCACTTTGGTAGGCTGAAGCAGGAGGACTACTTCAGCCCAGGGGGTAGAGGCTGCAGTGAGCTATGATCACACCACTGCACTCCAACCTGGGCAACATAGCAAGATCCTGTTTCTAAAAAATAATAATATTATTACTAACATTGAGTGAGAGCTATATGTCAAGTATTTTTCTAAGCACTTACATGTATTCATTTAATCCTCCCAATAATCCTACGAGGTAGATATTATTATAATACCTACTTTACAAATAAGGAAATTGTAGCACAGATAATTTAATTAACCTCCCAAGTAGTAAATAAAGGCCGAGCTGAGCGTTAAACCCAAGAAGTCGAGCTCCAGAGTCCATGTTCTTAATCATTATGCCTTAATGCTTCTCTAAATAATAACAATGCAGATTCACTACAAAGCCTAAAAGAATCCATATTTATTTAGGACCTGTCCTGAAGCTTGCCTGTCATTCTGCTCAAACCACAGTACCAATGGGCATCCTCTAAACTATGGAAGCCAGGTAGGCACGATGGGCTAGGGTGGAAAACTTTAGTAGGTTTTAGTTACCAGAACTTTGGCCCTGCCCCACTCCCCTGTTGCCCAGGACCTCATGCCAAACATAAATCCCAAGATTATCTTGTCTTAGATGTCCCTGACTTTCAGGGATGTACTAAATCTGGGACCCAAGGCAATGGAACACTGTTTTACTGCATTGTCTAGTTAAGTGTAAATGGTTCCTCAAAAAATTAAAAAGAGAATTAACAGGCAATTCTACTTCTGGGTATAAAAAACAAGGTCTTGGCCAAGCACGGCGGTTCACGCCTGTAATCCCAGCACTTTGGGAGGCTGAGGTGGGAGGATCATTTTAGTCCAGGAGTTCAAGACCAGCCTGGGCAACATAGCAAAACTCTGAATCTATTTTTAAAAAGTAAAGTAATTTTTTTTTATAAAACAGAACCTCAAAGAGATATTTCTACACCCATGTTTATAGCAGTATTACTCACAATAGCCAAAAGGTAGAACCAAACCAAGTGTCCATTGACAGATGAATGGATACCCAAGATGTGGTATATACATACAATGGAGTATTATTCGGCTTTAAAGAGGAAGGAAATCTATTCACGTGCCACAACATGGATGAACCTTGAGGACATTATGCCAAGTTAAATAAACCAGTCAAAAATAGGCGACTTTTTATATTAAATTTTTATTTAAAACTATATTAGCACATTATCTAAATGGTTAGAAATACATATTTTCTATTGGACGATTTCTTTTTTTTTTTTTAATTTATTTATTATTATTATACTTTAAGTTGTAGGGTACATGTGCATAACGTGCAGGTTTGTTACATATGTATACTTGTGCCATGTTGCTGTGCTGCACCCATCAACTCGTCATTTACATCAGGTATAACTCCCAATGCAATCCCTCCCCCCTCCCCCCTCCCCATGATAGGCCCCGGTGTGTGATGTTCCCCTTCCTGAGTCCAAGTGATCTCATTGTTCAGTTCCCACCTATGAGTGAGAACATGCGGTGTTTGGTTTTCTGTTCTTGTGATAATTTGCTAAGAATGATGGTTTCCAGCTGCATCCATGTCCCTACAAAGGACACAAACTCATCCTTTTTTATGGCTGCATAGTATTCCATGGTGTATATGTGCCACATTTTCTCATACCACATATGCCATATGATGATTCAAATCACAATCATGGGTTTTGTTAAAAACAACAAAAAAAACCTATTATCTATAAAAACACTGGGAAAACAAAGGTTTTTCAAAATGACAAATTATTCTAAATATTACGAAAACTTAAAAGAAAACATCCTGTTTGTAAAATAGAGACAGAGTAAGACTGATCTGATTGTGTTGCTAGAAAATTTGTTTTGGAAACTTGTTAATAAATTCTTGGTGAAAATTAAAAAAAAAAAAAAAATAGGCAAACACCACATGATTCCACTTACATGTGGTAAGTAGAAAATGGTGGTTGCTGGGGGCTGGGGAGCAGGGAACAGGGAGTTATTGTTTAATGGGTACAGAATTAGTTTTGTAAGATGAAAAGAGGTCTGGAGATGGATGTTGGTAATAGCTGTACAACAATGTGCTTAGTACTACTTAATTATACACTTCAAAATGGTTAAGATAATGACTTTGTTTTATCTATTTTATCATAATCTTTTTTAAAAATTGAATTACTAGTTGACACCTACTGATCTCTCTAAATACAAAAAAAGTGACATCTTTTCTGTTAGACTAAATATTAGAAATCAGGCTCTATGTCGCCGGGCACAGTGGCTCACACCTGTAATCTCAGCACTTTGGGAGGCCGAGGAGGGCGGATCACCTGAGGTTGGGAATTTGAGACCACCCTAACCTTTAGGAGAAACCCCATCTCTACTAAAAACACAAAATTAGCTGGGTGTGGTGGCCTGTAATCCCAGCTGCTCAGGAGACTGAGGCAGGAGAATTGCTTGAACCCAGCAGGCGGAGGTTGCGGTGAGCCGGAGATCGTGCCATTGCACTCCAGCCTGGGCAACAAGAGAGAAACTCCGTCTCCAAAAAAAAAAGAAAAAAGAAAAAGAAAAAGAAATCGGGCTCTATGTCTAGTCTCAAAATACAGAGATAAGGTAAGGAAAGCTCACAGTAATATCTAAAAAACGAATATCCTTTAAAAAATCATTAAAATAACACGGTTTTTTTAGGTTCACAATTTACAGTTCATTTCAAGCTCTTATACGGGTTTGTTTAGACCTTTGATACTTGGCTATACACTTATTTTTAGAAAAAAGTAATTCCAAATTATTATAATTTGCCACATCATTCTGCCACCTGCTGATTGAATATCATTGGCCAAATTACATAACCTCTCTGAGTTTTAGTTTACTCATTCATAAAATGGGAACACTAATTTCTAGGCCATAGAGCTACTCTGGGGATTAAATAATGCAAGTAAAGGGTTTATTTACCAAGTGTCTGACACACAATAAACTTATTAAGTGGTTACTATTATTAATAAAATATGAACAGGATAAGGATAAAGAGTAGGAAATTATAAGGATTGCAGGATCTTTCAAATATTATCAAAACTATGAGTCTTAGATAGTTGACTTCCTATTTTCTTTAAGAAGTAAAGATAGGTCAGGTACGGTGGCTCTCGCCTGTAATCCCAGCACTTTGGGAGGCTGAGGCAGGCGGATCACGAGGTCAGGCGATCCAGACCATCCTGGCTAACACGGTGAAACGCCGTCTCTACTAAAAATATTTTAAAAATTAGCCAGGT